GGAAAATTAGGCCCACATGACATATGTGACTTGCACAGGGATCCACATGTAGGAGCTAGGGAAGGCAGGATGTGAACACAGGTCCTCTTTCTCTGAAGCCAGTGCTCTTTCTTCTGCACTACAGCCCACCTGTAACTTTATTGCCTGGAGAGGCTATATGCCTTATCTATTGTCACACAAGCCCATTCGCTAGAGGTAGAATTTGAACCCAGATCTTCCTGACTCCAAGGATGGATTTTGTCTACTATGCCATGGTACCTCTGTTATAATTCTGCATTACCCTGTATAGTAAAGATTAGCAGAAAGAACATTTTTAAAGTGTCTATAATACATCAGACCCTATGCTAAATGCTTTATAATTATCATGTCATTTGAATAGATGGCTGTTAATTTTTTTTTTTAGGCAATTGGGGTTAAGTGACTTGCCCAGGGTCACACAGCTAGTAAGTGTTAAGTGTTTGGTCTGAGGCCAGATTTGAAATCAGGTCCTCCTGACTTCAGGGCCGGTGCTCCGTCTACTGTGCCACCTAGCTGCCCCGATAGATGGCTGTTATTATCCCCATTTTACAATCGAGGACAGTTTAATGACAAGCCCAGGGTCACACAATTACTAAGTATCTGAGCTTGGATTTGAACTCAGGTTTTCCTGACTCTGGGCTCTGGTACTTTATCCACTGTACTACGTAATTGCCTCTAAGAGGAGATACCATGTATGTGTGTGTACATATACACACACACACATACACACACACACACACACACACACACACACACACACATATATATATATACACACACACACACACACACACACATATACATATATATATACACACACACACATATATATATATATATATATATATGTATGTCAATACCAAACAAAACTTTATCCACTGTACTACATAGTTGCCTCTAAGAGGAAATAACATGTTTATATATGTCAATTCCAAACAGAGTAAATGCAAAATAAATGCAAGTCCCTTTCATCATCTGTAAGCATTTATAAAATAGAAATGATTACATGCCCAGCCTACCTCACAGAGAAGTGTTTGAGGCACAGTTTGAACTTGGGTTTTCTTGACTCCAGGCACAGTATACTCTGTCCACTTGGCCATCTGCTGACGGTCCAACTGTGTATATGTTCCTAGACTTGCCAGAGCAATAGACTTGAGGTTTCCCTCCGCTTTTACTTTAGAGAAAGATCACAAAAATCTCAGATTACCAGCCAGGTTATGGGAGAGTAAATGTCTACCTTAAATTTTAAGCAAGTGTTTAACTTAAGATTATAAGATAACTATGAGTGGGACCAAAGCTTTGTACATAGTAACTTATTGTGAACTTTCTAATTTTAGATTTAGACTTCCTTTCATCAGCTTTGGGAGGGTGACAGAGGAGGCATGGATCATTCTTCAATATGTCACAGCCACCTCTTGGATTTCTGAACCATTAAATGATGCTTAATAAACTTAATTTTTACATTAATAATTTTAAATACATATGTATATGTATATTTGTGTTTCTGTGTATACACACACACAAGAGCTAGGTGGTACAGTGGACAGAGCACCAGGCCTGGGATTAGGAAGACCTGAGTTCAAATCTGGCTTTAGACACTTACTAGCTGTGTGACCCTGGGCAAGTCACTTAATCCTGTTTGCCTCAGTTCCTCATCTATAAAATGAGCTGGAGAAGAAAATGGCAAACTGTTCTGGTATCTTTACCAAGAAAACCCCAAATAACATCACAAAGAGTCAGACATGACTGAACAACAATCTATCTATATATATTTACATATATGTAATACACATATTACATACAATATACTATACACACACACACACAGCAAAAAGATAGAAAATGCATTGTTGTCATCAAGCCTTTAATAGTAAAGGAGTCAGGACCACTGTTTCGCTTCGTCAACTTTTCTTCACTATCAATCAAAAAAGCTGAATCTGAGATTTTATGATCTTTTCCAAGTTCAGTTTTCTTTCACCACTCTTGAAATAACAGAATTATGCAAAATTTTAGAATAAAAACAATAAAAAACCCTGATCAAAAATAATATTAGCCCACAGTATGAGAGTTGTTGTTAGGAACCACAAAAGAAACCAGTTCTGCCTACACAGTATTAAACATGTTATCATGTCTCCTCTGCTTAAAATATAAGAATTGGCTGGATGCAGTGTGGAGGATTCCTAAACTCTACATTGCAACACAATCATACAAGGTTGAGATAAACTATTTCCCAACCAACATTTGGACACTGATGTAGTTATTTGAAGGAAACCTTGACATGGCACTGTTAGGTTTCTATACTGCTCTTTACTGATTTTAAAATAGACTACATAGAGAAAGGAATGACAGAGGTGTGTGTATATATTTAAAATGTGTGTTTAGGAGAAGGATGTATTGACTCGTGGAAATTGGTAGATATGGAAGAAAGGAGGCTCTCTCCTCACTGAAATTGTCTGGATCCTTTAGCAAACTCATCAGTATGTAGACAAAATACACATCATTCTCTTTAAAGATACTGGATAAAGATACTGGACCTGGATTCAAGAAGATCTGAATTCAAATCCAGCTTCAGACACTTACTGGCTCTGCAACCCTGGTCAAGTCACTTAATCTCTTTGTGCCTCAGTAAAAAAAGGGATAATAATAGCACCTACCTCTCAAGGTTGTTATGAGAGTAACTGAGATATTTACAAAGGTCTGTGTAAACCTCACAACATTATTTAAAAGCTAGCTACCGAAACACTATGTAATTATATTAATAAGAAAGGCTCTGCAGTCCCCTCAAAATGCAAAAAACTAGTAGACATTTTATTAGGGGATGGTTTGAGTATAGTCCTTCCTGGAGAAAAAGGAATAATACCTTAAACAACCACAGATTTGGTCTTTAGACATATTCTGGTCTTGTATAGTTTTTGTGTAAATCACCTGTAAGAGAAATCAAGAGATGTGTGCCAGAAGGAGCACAAACTTGATTTATCGTGATTACTCACTTCTACTTCATGTTTCTCAATTTAAACAAAGAATTAAATGGTGTATAGTGTAGGTGTAGTGGAAAGTGAATTTAACTTTGAAGCAGCAGGCCTAATTCCCACCTTCCTCCCTTAATAAGTGTATGTATTGGGCAGTTCTTTTAAATCTCTGGATCTAAGCTTACTCAGGTGTTAAAAGAGAAAAGAATACTAGCCCTATCAATTTCAAAAGGTTGTGAAAGTCTTTGGAAATGGAAATGGGATATACTCACACACAAGTGTGAATTATTTATTAACACTAAAGAGTAGGGGAGGCAGGAAGGGAGCAGCATTTGAATGAGATCTGGTCTTACTGGCAAACTCATATGGGGGTAGGGGGGAACCACTGGATTTTTAGTCGAGGCCCTGCCTTCAATCAGGGCTCTACTATTAACTTCGGGTAAGTAAATGGTATAGTGGATAGAGCACCAAGCCTGGAGTCAGGAAAACTCATTTTCCTGAGTTCAAATATGGCCTCAGACACTTACTATTTGTATGACCCTGGGCAAGTCACTTAACCCTATTGCAGCCGTTCCCTCATCTGTAAAATGAGCTGGAGAGGAAACAGCAAACCACTCCAGTATCTCTGCCAAGAAACCCCCAAATGGGGGTGCAGAAAAGTTGACAGACTGAACTACATTTACTATCTAAATAGTAATAAACAAGTCCACTTTATTTCTCTGGCCCAAGGACCAAACATCAGTATGTAAAATAAGGAGGTCTGACTAGATAATGTATAAAGTCTAAATTCTCTGACACTAGAACAGGGCTACTCTTTCTCACAGCTTGTTGGTATAAACTCCCATTCTGCCCATCTGGCCCCACACAAGCTTTACAGATTCCCTGTCACCCTTATATTAACTATACTTTCCGAGATTTTGACCACAAACAAGTATGTTTTTTAGTACTTACGGTGCATTCAATGTTGTTAAGTAATATTGAAAATCTTTTCTAGGTCATACACACCCTTGGACAACACTTAAACTCCACCCAGAGAAGGGTACGTAATAATATTACTGAAAAAAATCAACCCGTCAGGTATATTGCCTGATTTAAAATGTATTCCCCAAGTCTCCCGACGGGTGGGGGTGGGGTGCAGAAAGGCCACTCAAGTGAAATATTAGTAACGACGTTGGGGAACTTTGGACACGCTCATCTTACTCGTCTTCTGCTTGGCAGGACACAGTGCCCTCCTCCTCCAGTCTCACGCCTGAAGAAGTCCCCAGTGCGCAAAGCTTCCTCAGCTTCTGTGCTGCTTGCTCCTCCAGGTGATCCACTTTTGCAAGGCGTGGGAACGGCTCTGCCACCAAATTCCCCGTGTTTGTAGAACCCGATCTTCCTCTGCCCTGAAGGCACCCTCCACCTCTCTGACATCAAGCCGCTTTCCCAATCCCGTGATTTTCCGGTGCTGCTGCAGGGAAAAGAACACCGAACAGCTTAACCAAGGTACTGTACGCACTCCTCTCTTTCCCCTGGTTTTCTCTCCTAGCCCGCAGGCTTGATTTTCCCCGCCCAGAGCTGCAGTTCTAGCTGCAACTACCCTCACACATCTGGCGGGGCCACGGCTTTACTCCCTCCCTTTTCCCTCAAGGGCACTGAGGAATAACTGGGCTTGCCTCCAGGGAAGGTCCTAGGGCAAGTCGGTCGTGGTCGCCCCGGGGACGCCAGCTCCGGGGTGGGTGGGGGCGGGGGTACTGCACAGAGACCCGGGGCGGCCACAACGACCCCCGCCCCAGGTGCTTCCAGCCTCCCTAGGGCGGGAGTCGAATGACTTCCCCAGGTCGCGGCGCACGCAGGGGGCCCCCTCTGTCCTGCCCATCCAGTCCTCCACCCCCGGCGGCTGCAGCCTCGGTGCCCCAATGCGGCAGAAGTCACCGACAGTGTCCAGAACGACCAGCATGCGAGGGAAGGCGAGGTAACGTCCTGGCCAGAGGCTGCTGGTAGGTTTGCGAGCCCGCCGCTTTCTCTGCGTTTCTGGCGCAGTGAATCAGACTCCCCCCCCCCCGGCGCGGGTGGCGTGGGTTTGGCTGCCTGGGGGCGTCGGCTTCCCCTTCGCCGGCAGACGACTACTTAGGGGAGAAGGAGTGTTCAGAACTTCCTCCTGCCAGCGTTTGGCCCCTGGCCTCGGGCTCTTGCCCTCCCTCCTCAGGAGCCTGCCCTTCGCCCCAGCTGGCTCCCCGAGTTTGCAGGGCATTTGCTGGGGAGAGGTAAGCCGCATTCTCCTTCCTCCTCTTCCCCCTCCCCCAGTCCGGGAACCCGAAATCCATGCTCAGTGGAGACCTGAGCCTCGAGTCTTGGGTTAGCTTTAGAAAGGGCTGGGGGCCAGAAAAGAAGGGACCACCTTTTAAACTAACTCCGCCCCCACCGCCGGGACGCAGGAATTCGGGAGGGCGAGAAAGGGCTGCGAACTCTGGGCAGAGTGGGTGCATTAGGGGCTGGTTCCGTAGGAGAGAAGATGGTAACAGGAGGAGAGAGGAGACTTTAAACACCTAACGGGCCAGGCTGACTCAGGCCGATTTGAAGGGGGAGGCTCCCTACATTACCTCTGGTCAGGGCGTGCAACGTAGGGGCGCCGAGAACGGGCTTGGGCGCGTGGGCGTGCCCCGACCCCCTGTCACTGTCAGGGAAGACAAGCACTTGGCAAGTGACGTTTAGGGTTGTCGGGCGGCTCCAGCTGTCTAGAACTGCTATGTCCATTTGGTCGTCTTTTTAAAAAGAAAGAAACTTTTGTTTCTTCAGAGTTTCCAAAAGAACCCTTCGATCTGCTAACAGTGTAACAAGCGCTACAAAAATAAAACAGAAAAGGCGCCCTGGTAATTTGGGTAGAGGGAGAGAGAGGCAATGATCGTGCAAATTGTCTTGGGCGGCTACTTATAATATAAGCAGAAAACTTGCGCTTTTGCTGGCATTCAAAGTGTTCCTTTGCCCCATCCCTTTCCTGTGGGTTATTTTGAATAACAACCCCCAACCCCCACACCAATCCAGTTACCAGAAAAGAAGGGCACACAAAGATTTTCCTCATTAGAAAATGGGGTTTATTTAAAGTTTTTTTTTTTTAATGGAAAGTAGTTCTCGGAAACCAAAGCCTCTCGCACACCTAATTTAGAAATGATTCAGAAGGACTCAGATAACACTGAAAATCTGCTCAGGATATTAGAGGCTACAGAGCCCCTTTTTTAATCTTATGGGCCCTGTTCTCCTATTACATGTGCTCTGCCCAGATTGACCTTTTATACTACTATCAACCATTTCAAATGATCACATTCAAAAACCAAGCCATCGTTTTCTTGTTGTACACTTTCTCCATTAAATAATTGTTGAAATTGCACTTTAGTTACATGAAGTTTAGAATTTCTGGGAGGCCCAGCCTTCCTTTATTTTCAGGAGAAAACAGTTAGCTTTTGACTCCGCTTTCAGTTTGTGGGACTTGACTCATTCCTTGACTTTTCACACCAAGGCCTATGAAAATAAATAGGTACTCTCAGGGTAACCTAGTCAGGACAAAGTTAACTAACTCCTAGGGCTCTTTAGATAATTGGAATTTTGATTTTTAGGCTTAGAAAAAGACTTCTATGCAAATTTAAGTTATTAGTGATATGCTGAACTACAAATTGAATGTGATGGAATGCCACATTTTCTATAAAAAGCTTTCTGTGGCCTTGAAAAAAATCACTGTATCTAAATGTTGTCACATTATTATTAAAATGAGACTACCACTGAGACTTACTAATGAGCTTTGATGAGGATAATGGATTTGCACTAACAATACCCATTAGAACAAAAATTCTTAAGATTCAGAGAGGGAAAATGGGGAAATATTGACAAGAATGCATGAGAAAATAACCAAGGCATCATAAAATTTTTAATTTCTGAATTTTAAAAAAATCAAAGATTCTCCTTGACATATGATTTGGCAGCATAAATCCCCCACCCCTTAATCCTGTTCATACATAGACCTTTCTCTAGTGTGCCACATTTTGTGTCCCACTCATCATCTATCTGGGATTTTTAACTTTTTATTTTTTTACAGTCTCCATCTCTTCTTCTTTTAAATGCTTAATTATTTCTCAAATGGAACATAGCATTGACTTGGTTCTAAGAAACTTTTCAAGTACCCTTGCCTTTCTCTCCTTTCTTATAGCTGAAACAGATGATTTCTCTATATTTTTCTTAACACTTTTTACCTCTTTAAATCCAAAAAGTTGATAATGAAAAAATCAGATTTTTAATATGTGTGTTTGTTACCAGATATAGTAACACTTTGATGTTTGGAATTTACTGGTAATCTGCAGGAGTGAGTTGGTTTGCTTTTGCATTTTAAAAAAAAGGTTTTATACAAATAGAGTCATGATTGCCAGAAGAAAATTGTTTATGTTTTTAAAAGTGCAGCCTATTTCTGAGGGCTTCAGAAGCTCAAGTACTTAAGTGGAGACTAGCCCTGTTTAGGCTTTGGGTCTGTATGTTAATTATAAATAATTCTTATCTAGTCACCATGATAGGAACTCTACCAGGCAACACTTAGTTTGTGTTATATCTACACAATGATATCTCCATGACTAATTTTTTTTTCTTAAATAAAGCCAGCTTCAACTTAAGAATCGGGAAAGGGTCCAATCTTTTTCTGTTGGTGTCACAGGTGGTCAAAGAGGAGTGGTGCTCCCTCAGGTTCAGACTCCTCAAAGACAGACCAGTGACTAGGTCTGATTAAATAGAGGATACCACTCCTGACACATTTTCCTGGGAATTGGGAAGCTAGCTCTCAAATTTGGTGAACCTATCATTGGACCAGTGAGGCTAGCCTGATATCCCTTGCAGTTTGAGAGATTGGCCAGCCTTAACCTTCTGGAGGGAAAGGAGAGAGGGTGTATCCTGATGAGTTGTGGAAAGGAATCCATGTCCTGGAAAACATCCCTATACCTTTTACATTTTTCCAATATCTGGTAGCAAAAGCAATGTTGGGTTGCATCCTTTTATTGCCGTCCTTGAAAATAACAAAAACTATATTTACATTAACAATGAATGATTCAGATAGGTCAGCAAACGTAATATGTAGTGAATGCTGAATTTGTAGTCAAGAAGTAGTTCAGTTGTGTTCAACTCTTCATGACCCCATTTGGGGTTTTCTTGGGAAAGACAAGGAATGGTTTGCCATTTCTTTCTGATTTTACTGATGGGGAAGCTAGGAAAACAGGGTTAATTAAATAACTTGCCCAAAGTCACATAGCTAGTTAAGTGTTTGAGGCCACATAATTGAAGTCTTCCTGACTCCCAGACCAGTGCTCTACCCACTGAGCCACCCATCTACCCCTTTCACGTCAGGAAGAGCCGAGTTCTAATCTTACCTCAGACACATACATACTAACTTTGTGGCAGTAGACAAGTCACTTAATTTCCCTTGCCTATTAAATTCTAGAATGGCTTAAAAGATCCTTGACCAATTATTGATGTTTAAGACTTCTACTGCTTGGTCCGATTTAGTGAGGCCCTGCTGTTCCCTTCATGCAGGAGTAATTTGTGAACTCATCCCTTTGGATTTGGTGCTGATTTTATTGCACTGTTTTTAATTCAAGGTCAGATTTCAGTCTTCAAAGAATATGTACGAGCACTAAGCATATGAATGGGAGACTGGTGGGTTTTTCCACTTAAGCTATTTTCTTAATGTCACGTGTACATGTCATAGCCTCTCAATCACTTGGTTCGTTCCACAGGTAGCAAGGCTTCTGTAGCTATTTGAATTCAAGGTTTGGTAAATTTGGGAGGTATGGAAGCCAACCTTGGTATACTCAGTTGCAGTACCTAAGAATGAAAATATGGGGAGCAGCTAGATGGCACAGTGGATATAGCACCAGCCATGGGGTGAGGAGGACCTGAGTTCACATGTGGCCTCAGACCAAACACTTGACACTTACTAGCTGTGTGACCCTGGGCAAGTCACTTAACCCTAATTGCCTAAAAATTTTTTAAAAATTTAAAAAAAAAGAAAATATAGAATGAATTTTTCCTTTTTAAAAAAAATTCCTAGTTTGTTCTTACACTTGTTTTTAAGACTTTTGAAATTGAAAAGTGGATTATCCAGAAGCATTCAGATGAGAGAAAAATAGATGATAATCTAGACATTTACTTGTAATTTTGAATGGAAGGACTGGAATATAATTGATTTTCACATGACCAAAAAAACCCCAAACAAACCAAAAAACAACCCTTTAATTTGTAATTTGATTTAACTGGCAGGTTCCAGAATGCTAGACAGGCTTCTTGTCTCCAGCCTAGAGACACTTTCAGGATCCAGTTTGTCCTATACTCAGCTGTCAAACACTGTGTTTTTTTCTTTTTTCTTTTTCTAGTTTTAATACAGAGAATTTTTTTACACTTAATAGTATTTTATTTTTTTAATTACATTTAAAGATAGTTTTCAACATTCATTTTTGTAAGATTTTGAATTCTAAATTTTTCTCTCCCTTCTTCCCCTCCCCTCTCCCCAAGATAGCAAGCAATCTTATTTAGATAATACATGTACAATCACGTTAATCATATCTCCACATTAGCCATGTTGTGAAAGAAGAATCAGAACAAAAGGGGAAAGCCATGAAAAAGAAAAAACAAAATTAAAACTGAAAATAGTATGTTTCGATCTGCATTGAGACTCCGTAGGTAAATTTTCTCTGAATAAGGATAGCATTTTTCATCATGAGTCTTTTGGAATTGTTTTGGATCATTGTATTGCTCAGAAGAGCTAGGGCTATCATAGTTGATCATCGCACAATGTTGCTGTAACTGTATACAATGTTTTTCTGGTTCTGTTCACTCATCATCAATTCATATAAGTCTTTCCAGGTTTTTCAGAAATCCGCCTGCTCATCATTTCTTATAGTACACCAGTATTCCATTACTTTCATATACCACAACTTGTTCAGCCATTCCCCAATTGATGGGCATTCCCTCAATTTCCAATTCTTTGCCATCACAAAAAGAGCTGCTATAAATATTTTTGAACATGTAGATCCTTTTCCCGTTTTTATAATCTCTTTGAGATACAGACCTAATAGTGGTATTGCTAGATCAAAGGGTATGCACAGGTTGATTGGCCTTTGGGCATAGTTCCAAATTGCTCTCCAGAATAGCTGGATCAGTTCACAGCTCTACCAGCAATGCATTAGTGTTCCAGTATTCCCACATCTTCTCTAACATTTATCATTTTCCATTTCTG